AATATTTTTTTTTGAAATTTAAAAAATCTTTAAGAAAAAAATAGAAAAATTGTAAAAAAAAATTATATAATAAAAAAAAAAAGGGAAAATTTCAAAAAAAATAAAAGAAAATTTTTGTAATGAATGAAAAAAAAAGTGCGTGTAAAAAAAAATGTACAAGATGAAAGAGGAAAAAAAAAAAAATAATAAAAATGCGAAAAAAAAAATTTTAAATACTTTTTGTGGTTTTTGTAAAATACTTTTTGTAAAAAAATATGCAGTGTATGTATATAAATCCCGAAATCAACTAATCCATTATTTAAAATGTATCATTATTACAGGACAATTAGACTACTAATTAGACTAGTATTATTTATCTATTATAATATTAGAAAAAAAAGGAATTTTTTATTCCAAGTCTAACGAAAATTTTTGAATGAGCAATTCCAGCGAGTCCATAAGTCAATTATAACATTTTGAAACGCTAGAAAAGCCCATAAAATGAAAAACTGTACGTTTTTAAGAATATTGAAAACGTACACCAGCGACAAACATCTCATCATAAGATTCCATTTCCATATCGCTTATGTTATCTTTCTTCTCCACACGAATTTCAGTCCAACATTCGTCTGAAAACTTTTCCAAATTAGGAAAACTCGTATATTCTATTGATTGATCTGAACTTGAAGAACAAAAAGAAGTTGGAGTTGAAGGAACATCGTCGGGTGAAGATGATAAAGTAGTTGTTGCTAATGAAGAAGAAGTAGAAGAAGAATGTTGACTTGACATTGAATTTAATGACAATGGACGTGAGAATAGAGCGGAACGTCTTCGTTTATGTATTGGAATATAAGAGAATGTTGGTTGTCTATATAATGATGAATGATCACCTTCGAACGATGGTTCAGGCGATAATGAATGTGAAGAAAAACATGATATATGTGAAGAAGAAAGCGTTTGTGCATGATTATTGTTATTGTTATTACTATTAAGTTCTTCTAAAGCTTTGCGTGATACGCTAACTGGCATTGTTTTTGATAAAAATTGGTGCATTTTGAAACTAATTATTTCGTATGAGAATGGTTTGTTAATATAATAATTCTCGTTTTTTTTTTAAAATTACCGTAAAAAAATTCTGGTTAAAATTCTGGTTGAAAAAATATTTTTTGTATTAAAGAAATATTTTTTGAAGATTTAAAAGATTTTAAGAAAAAAAATTTTCGAAAAAAAAAAATGGGACGTATTTATAAATAAAAAATTGTTTATGTTAAAAAAGGAAATACACGCCTTATAATCTGATAAAAAAAAAAAATAGTCAAGTATCAAGTAAACTTGAAAAAGAATTTATGCTTGTGGCTTGCTTCTTTGTTATTTATTCTCTATTCATATAAAGAAAAAAAGGGTTTAGGAAAAAAAAAATGATTATAGTTTAAAGAGTAAGGTTTAATCTCAGAATCAGGATTTTTGCCTGTATTTATAAAAAAACGTAAAGTATATTGCATAATATAATTGTGATATTTAAATATTTAATGCATGAATAGGAGTTACCTTTTATTGGACATAAAAGTAAAAGTGATGACGATCATTTTGAGGGACCCCACATATTAGCTATTATTAAATGCATTAATTTATATTACGTGTAATAGAAAATTGTAGAATAAAAAGAATAAATTTATCACACAATACCTATTATTATCACACAATGTCATTTGATATTTTAATATTACCCGGATAACCAGAAACAATCCTTCCCCTATTTTAACAAAAAAAAATACGGCCAGTCATTATTCCACATTACATTATTACATAAATATATCTTTAAATATGCCTATTGCCTATTAAACATAACAACGTTCTTGTGACCTTTATTGCAATCATCCCTTTGCATTTAATAATATTTAATAATGTATTACTTATATAAACAACGAATATTGGCTCACTTAGCTGCTAAGACAAGTTTTATATAAAAATTTTTTCTTTATATGCATGTAGTAAATTACGCTTTACTGTTATTGGATTTAATTAAATTATAATAACTGTAATGTGATACTGGTGATACATTTCTTAATGCCTAGTAATTTTATATAGAAAATAAAAAATATCGTTATTTTACGGAAAATAAAAATCTCCGAAATTTTTATTTGGTCCTTTTCTATTTATCAAATGATTCTTTAATTACAAAATGTTTAAGAAAAAAATTTAAAGGAATTTATGACATAATGACATCAGATGATCAAAAAAAAGCAACAATGACATATTACAACTTCTTTTTTTATTAAAAAAATAAAATAAAAATTAGGTATTGATAATCATTCTATTTCATTTTATTTCTAATATTTTATTTCTATTTCGAAAAATATTTGATTGTAAATATGGTAAATATTGTCAATTAATAAGTAATTACTATAAATAAATTCTTGTATTATGTTCATAATATCATTCGTCCATTTTTTTTCTTGGCCAGAATTGTTTCCAGAATTTTATTTATAAAAAAAAAAAAAAATCACCAGTAAAACTTTCGGCCCATTTTCGTTTCATTCTGGAAAATCAATGGTAACCAATGCATTTGTTATTGTGTTTATTATTATAAAAATAATTTTAACTAAATATTATACGGAAAACACAAACCAAACTTGTGTATCCTTATTATGCATTTGTTGAAACCGGTTTTACCGGTTTGTTTACCGGTTTATCTTCCAGTTTTGATTTTAGGCTAAAATAATCCCGCCAACAGTTCGAAAATTTGGAAGCAAATTTCACATTTCAGGAAGTTTCTGGTGTAACAGTTTAAAAATATTTTCGTAACATATAAATATATTTTAGTTTATTCTATTCTATTTAGTTTATTCTATTCTATTTAGTTTATTCTATTTTATACTATATTTTATTCTATTTTATTCATTCTATTTTATTCTATTTTATTCTATTTTCTTTTCTTTTATTTTATTTTTCTTTTATTTTCTTTTCTTTTATTTATTTTTTTTTCAACTGTTCGTTTGTTATTAAATATTATGGAATTTCAGGAGCAAAAAATTCATAGTACTTATAGTATGAATGAAATATAAAAGTTATATAAAAGTTATAGAAGTTAGAATTTTTTTTTTTTTTTTTTTTTTTATTTATATTATTTATATATATATATTATATTTTTATTTTAAATTTTATTTATTTATTTATTTTATTTTAAAACAAACCAATGTTTTTGTTTTCCGGATAAATCCGGATTTATAATCAAGATTATTCCAATTAGGTGGATGATTTTCACCCGATTTTTGATTTTGATTCCGGATCGCATGCAAAAAAAGTTTAAAATCTTAAAAAAAAAATTTTTTACACGTTTTTCTGAATTCCATAAATTGAAAGAAAAAAAACCTTTCATTTCTTTTAAAGAGTTGAAGATTTTCTTTAAGATAAGCCACATTTAGAATGGGTTTTCTCCCTTTTTTTCATGTTTTTTTTTTATTCGTTACAAAAAGTTTTAGTTCGTTCAATCACGTGATACTAGGAATAAATTTTTTTCGCAGCAAACAGTTCTCAAAAATAACGGATATGATTAATTAGGATGAGAAAACATTTGTATTACTAATCTTTTTCTATGGTTCATAAATTATGAAACATTAAAATTTTTTTTTTTTTTAAAAAAAAATACTTTTACTATAAAAAAAAAAAATTATTGGTTAAACTAATATAAAGAACTTTTTTAAATTAGTAATATAAAAAACGAAAATCAATCAAAATAACGAAATTTTTAATGTTTCATTTTTAAGTAATAATACATACATAAATGTAATAAACTATCATACTCAATATGTATCATGTAAGGAACGGATATACTACTTGCTATATTACTGCTTATACTACTCCTTTAAATCTTGGCAAACGCCTCTTCGTCATGGTAATAAAGAAATAAAAATAACTACTACGTAAGCACAACGACTAGCATAACAGATATACTTACTCCTTTATTTAATTTATTTGTAATAGAATAAAAATACAAATCAGGGATGTATCCGAGAACACGTGTAGTTCACGTTATCTACAGGGGTATTGATCAGTCGATCATTCTATATAGTATACTAAAAATGGGTAAGATAAATCAAATTTTCACAGTTGTTTTAGGGCCAGAATTATATTATGTCAATCCATCAATCCATTCGCAATAAATTCCAATCGAAATTATCTAAAAAAGGGAAATAGTTATGTGATAATTTTGTTATTTCACAAATTGCATCATTGAAACTATGCTTATTTTTTAAAAAAAGAAAATTGCATCATTTGCATCATTGGTCTACTTTTATCGCACGGCCCCCTATATGATCATGATGATTTTGTTCGATCTGTTTAACCAATATTTTCACGGAGGTATCTACATTTTTTTTAGCGTATAAATAGGACCCTTAAAGGCTTAAAATGAACAGTATAATCTAAAAGTCCGAGGTAAAATAATCTGTACGCATTTTTTAAGACTATAACTCATTTTTAGTCTCTAATTCGTTATTGCGGAAAGAAAATCGTAAAGTTAACGTTAAGGGAAACGTGAACTGACGCATTATTCAATGCTGGAATTATGATAATTTCGGTCAGTATCCAGAAAAGGTAATAGCTTTCACTGGCATTATCTATAAAAGGAGAGATTTTCGGACCGGTTGTGACTTGTGACACTTTTATGATATATTTCGGGTATACATCATACAATATCCATATTGTGAATGAATTAAAAATTTTGTATTAGAAATCCCTATAATCCCTATGAAAGATTCTCTGGAAAAACTCCGATAACCCCGATAAATAATCATTTTTCAAGTTTTTATTCCAAAAAAATCCAACATGTGATCAATATTGCAAAAATTACCCTTAATCTTTGGGTCATACATTAAATTCACCACAAATCACTATCGACAAACCATAATAAGAAGTTAATGACCTAGTCATGTGGTCGTTCAAACATTTTGAAAAATTGAAATAAAATTTGATTTCGTTTCGCCGACAGGCAGTGTTATAAATTCAAAAAATTCTTATACGCGCGCATATCATTAATAAAATTCATTTGTGCAACCTATTAATTTCATATGCGCTTTATATATTAATGATAGGCGCTACAGTAGGCGCTACTAAGAAAAATTCCGCCTGATATTTTCAACGTAATGTACGCTGCGCCTACTGCGCGAATCCGATTTAGAGGATAAAATTATATCACGTGATAATATATGTAATTCTGGCCAGCATCATAAATTTGGCCTGAATTTATTTTAAAATAAAATAATATAAAAACGTACTATTTCTATTAAATTCTTTTTAATAATGTTTGGCAGAATTTTATTCCCTGTTTTAGTAACTGACTGACACTATCATAATTCCGGCCCTGTAAAGATATGCTTTACTAGTATGGCGATGGTAATCACTGCCACATGGTCATTTCGCTCGATAAACGTTTTACCGACAGTTATTTCATCGACAGTTCATTTTGCTTATTTTTAAAGAAAATTAATTTTTTTTTTTTTTCTTGGCTTTTGATCATCACAGGATTCCACAGTTAAAAATAATAAAAATGGTTAAGTGATATGCGATATTAATAACTATGTACATATCAGTAATTACTAAATTAGAACAAAAAAAATCCTTTTATATTTACACGAAAGATATAATAATATACATTTAATATTTTTTTAAAAAAAATAAAAAAAATTTATATTTAATTTTATTATAATATTTAAAAAATTACTGTGATCCTGTCGTCGATTTAAACGGTTATCGGTGTAATGAAATAATTGTCGATGAGTTGAATGCGTCCCTGATCTTTTCGTACTAGGATAAAAATAATAAAATTTTATCACGCTCCATATTTTAGTTTTTAAGAAATTTTTATTTAATCATTAGCTAAATTCATGTAATTATAAATTAATGGATAAATATAGTATGCAAATACAAAATAACTAGATAAAATAAATACAAATAAATATAAGACCAGTACATTATAAAATTCTATTTAACGTAATTCTATAGCATTCTGCTATTTTCTCACTCCGTCTTATTTTTAAAATACGCTAACGTTAGAAAATTATAATGGAAGAAAAAATATTCTTGAAAATAAAAAAAAATACATAATTAACCAAATTAACCGTAAAAGTGTTAAATAAAAAATTATTGATGATTTTGTATTAGGCTTTAAGATTTATTATTCCG